AGGAATGAACCTGGGTGTGAGCTGGGGGAGAACTGGCAGAGCTCTGGTACTTGATGTTTGTTCCCAGCTTTGACCAGATGCAAGTATCCAGGCCTAAACCCTCTCAATGTACCCACTCAGAGTCTCTTGTCATCGCAAACTGGTGGTACTGTCCAATTACAAAGGCAGAGCTCCTCCAACATAAAAGTGCTGAATGAGGCCAGCATATAGAGAGCCCACTCTGAAGCCTGTTTCTCAGGCATAAATAGCTGTGTCACAAGGTTAAATCCCAGCCACAATGACTTCAAATTTTGCATTTTAGCATTGTACAGAGCAGTTGAGCCGTGGCCGTTGCCAAGTATACTTGTAATGTGGGCCAGAAGTGCGCAGGTGATGAATGTCTTCGTTTCCTCCTTCAGCCGCTCAAATTGCACATTCGACTCGTGAGTGTTCCCTCCTTCCCCCACGTGTGGGTGCGCATACATGCGGGTGCAGGTGCATCACATGTACTCTGTCGTGGTGCCCGCACCTGTAGGACTATTCCTTACTCTTTTCATTCCAATTTGGTGTTATTTGAGAACGGGAGGGAATAAAATCTGCTCTTCTGCAGATGTGTGGTTGTGAGGGCAAGGGAAAGTAGAATAAATTTTCAGCATTTGGGGTTTTCAACTGCATCCAGGATTCACCAACTCCTCCTCCTTAATGGAAGTTAAGAGCTGCTGGAGTATTAAGTCATTGAACTGTCAGTGAGGCTGTTCTTTGACAGCTGACAGAGTGGAGGAATGAGATTTATCCAGCCGGCCTTTTATTCTTTCTAAATCCTCTGTTTGAGTGTCTGTCAGGGTGAAGGGCCTATCTGGGGTGGTGCTGTCAAAGCCAAAACTCTCCTCTTAGCGATCCTTCCCCTGCCTGCAAATAAACCAAACCTGAAGTGATTTTTGAAGAAGTCAAGTTTCTTGCAGCTTTTTCCTTCTTGTGTTCCTGTCTAGAGAAGAGTTTCTGCTCTCATAGTCTTTGTTGCTGTGAAAACATGAATTGGTCTTGAACACCGCTTTTTCTGGGGGGGAAAGGGGTGGCAAGGGGGAATAATGAGAACATTGCAGAGCGTGAGCAATATATCATGAGGCCCTGGAGAAGGCTGGTCTTTTGTGAATGAAATGGGGAGAGTAGTGTAGCTGTAGGATCTCTGGAGTCTTACATCAAAAGTGGGATTGGGTCACTATTCTTCATCTGTGCCCTGGCTGCAGCAGAGGAATTCTATGCATTTTAATTTTGCCCGATGCCGAAAGCGTGCAGAAATCCGCACTTACGTTCACTGGTAGTAAGTACTACGGACTTACGTAAACAGTACTTTATGCTTGTGTGTTACCTAATGCTGCAGAAACTCACTGTCAGCACCACTAGATACTCCAGTGCCTGGTGTGTATTGGTGCCCTTGTTCTGGCTAGATGCAAGGACACCGCACGTGTAACGCTTAATGGTGGGAGATCTTTCCCGCGAGCTAACATAGCCACAGCCAGCCTGCTTGATACAATTGTTCTTATCCTTTGCATCTGAAGCCCAAAAGTGCATGTGCACACCCGGTTTGCGCAGCAGTTATATTAAGATGCTTTATTATCTTGGCTCGCTGTTGAGCTAAGCCTACGTTTTAGCCTTGGATTGCTTTCTCTGTCCCAATTATAGCTTCGGTTAATTGTTTCTAGGAGGGCAAAAAGCCAAATAAAACATAAAGCAAGAAATAAATATAAAGCGCTGAATACACTAATGATGCAAAAGCCGTGTGATGAGCATTGGCCGAACAGTTGGAAAGCTAGTCTTTTGTCTGAATTATAGTAGACAGCAAGACAGAAAAATATTCTAACACTAGTAAATAAATATGTATTTCCTTTGTGGTATGAGGTTCTTGCTGTAATCTTTTTCCTTTACTATCTCTGTAGTCTCAGAGAAAATAGTCATGCGGGTGCCTTATCACTTTTAAGCTTTGGACAGCCAGCTATTTCAGATTTAAATACAACAGCCCCATTCTTAACCCATGAGTTTCAGGCTCTCCTTTTCAAGCTTGAGGTAGTCCAGCCTCTCATAGCTCTGTTCAGACTGGGAAACTCTTCTGATCTTTGACAACTTACACAGTATTTATTGTGCTGCCTGCTGAAATTTAGTGTGCCCTGCTAGCGCTGCTGCCTGGGGCCAGTGCTGATGGTGGTGGTACCCATGCCCCCTGGCTTGCTGTGTGGGTGGGTAAGCTGTTTGGGTTTTGGGTGGTTTTTTAACATTCCTAAACCACATTGTAAAGACATGATGGGATGGTTAAGTGGAAAAGAAGGCATTTCAGGGTGAGAAATGCCCTCTTATCCTGGAGAGAACCTGGGAAAATATGGTGGACTGACCAGCGACAAAGCTGGAGAATAACCAGTCTCCTGTTGGTGCACGCTGCCCCAGGCATTTGAATGGGTGCAAAAGGTGACTGGCTGGGCTGAAACTGAACCCACCTGGTGGGTTCTTGGAGTCAGGCCTAAAGGAAGGAATGGTTTTGCTCAACAAGAGCTTAGTCCTGATTTTTCCGAGATGACTAGACATAGGAGGCAAAGGGCCTTGTTTGGAAATACAGGGCTAGGGGTACTTCTGTCAGAGTGGTGCAAGTCTGAGAGCTGTAGTCCAAGTTCCTAGTCCCCAGGTCTTGTAATAAAAAGGTATATTCTGGCACTTGGCTTCTAGCTCAGGTGCTTTTGCAGACTGGATGTTAGAAGTTAGCAGTATCTCTTAATAAGCTCTGGCCCTTTCTCCCTTCTGGCTGTAGCTTCTCACCTCTTTCTTCTGGGTTTCCTCTCCTGCAGAGCCAGACTATGAAGTGTTTCTAAATGCCTCTAAAACACCCAAGTTTTCAGATGACCCCACCGAGCTCAACTGCAGGATCACAAACGCACAGGACACCAAAGCAAACATCCGCTTCGCAGTTTCCTGGTACTACAGGCAGCGCCTGCGCAGCGACGATGTGGTGACAGAGGAACTCCTGGCCACGATGGATGCAGACTGGACTCTGCTGCTTGGGGACAGGAGCAGAGAGCGGACTCAGAATGGGGAAATAATCTTCTCCAAAAAGGCTGCTGACACCTTCAGTTTACGAATCCAATGGACTTCAGAAAGTGACAGAGGGGATTATTTCTGTGTCATCTCTGCATGGAGTAGGCACCGCAACAACAGCTGGGTAAAGAGCAAAGATGTGACTTCTGCATCTGTCGGCATTTTCTGGGCTACACAAGGTATGAACCTCGCACTTATTTACTGAAAGACCTGGATAGCTGATATAGTTTTCTCTTGAGTAGGCACATCAGCAAGAAGGCCTGCTAATGGGCTTTGGAAATGGCATTCTGTGTTACAAAGAGGAAAGAACACTATTACCTTGTGTAAAGATCCCTTATTTGTGGAGGGTAGTAGCTATTTAACAGCACTCACCAGTTTTATGCAATAGTTTGGAGTGGAAGTGCAAAGCAGAGATACGTCAGTCAAACTGTGCTGAGACTTCCAGGGGCTGGGCTGTCATTGTGGCAGGGGTGGCATCCAGCAGTGATGCTGGGGTCGTTGCCCCCTTTCATGATGCACAGTATTTTGGTCTCAAGGATGCATCTTGCTGCTAACAACTGTGTTGTCCTGAGGTGAAAAGAGGAATGTCACTCACTTTAAGTCTTTGTCTGCCAGTTTGAGAGGTTTTTCTTCTCTCTTTCCTGCAAGCCCATGTTTACAAGACACTTTTGAGGAAGTTCATGGGCATAGTAGTACCAGAGTATCGAAAATAAATGAGTGGAAGAACAAAATAATTCTGTGATTTGCTTGGATCTGGGCCCTTTCTAGGCAGAACTGAACTAGCTCTGTTCAGTATTTAAACTGACTCTGGGAGCATTTCTTGGAAGTTAAATAGTTACCTGAATTACTTAACACTGGTTTAAAATGGGTGTATGTACCTTGGATGTCTTCTAGAGTGATACTGTTTTGGCTTAGATGTGAGGTCATGCAAGAGGGTCTGTTGGATAGGGACAGAAGGAATAGGATAACCTAGAATGTAATGTCTTTGGCAAAACACTGTGCTTAGCTAAGCTGAATTTATCCTGACAGATTTGTTTAACAGCCTAGCTCAGGCAGCCACAGGTGGAGAACCATATTTCAGAGACAAATAGTTAGAAATTAGTTTAAAGTTGTTTAGGGATAATCCCTAAACAGCTAATTGGAGAGCTGCTGCTGTGATTGTGCTTCAGCGGAGAAAGAAATGGTGGGCTCTCTGCTCAGTACTCTGTCCCCAGACCAAGCATGGTCCTCAAAGGTAATTTTTTTTTTTTCACTGAAGCTGGCTTCTCCAGCTGGAATGAGAGATCTCAGTGCTGAATGCTGGTCACAATTGTTTCTGTTGGTATGCCACAACACGGAATGTGTGTATGTACACGCACACGTGATGGATCATCGCCTTTGGAGCAGCTAGAGAGACCAGCTGGAGTTGAAAAGTCTCAGCCTGTGTTGACATTTCTGAGGGAAAACAAACCGTGACAGGTGTGAACATTCCCTTGTTTCTGGTTTTATTCCAAAAGCTCTGCTAATTTTGCAACACAAATGTAAATGTTATAGTCCCCATGCTGAAAAGTACATTTTGTTGGTAAATCTTGGAGTTTTGGGGGGTTTATGATGTGAAAGTGAGCTCTCACACAAACACCTTCTCCTCCTGAATAGGTGTTTTGTATATATAGGTTTGATTTTTTTTTCCCCCCTTCTTCCTTTCCACCCCTCATGCACACACCCTCCCTGCCTTCCCTCCCCCAACTCTTCCAGCAGTCTAGCCCCAGATGCCTTTCTCTGCGTGCCCTTTCCCTGCCATATCCTGTCCGTGTGAGCTCCAGACTCTGCTGTGAGCCCAGCGTAGCCAGCAACTACTAAGGAGTTAATCTGCTGCTGCCTTTGCGCTCTGACTGTTGTTTTGACAAGAATCTCTGGTGATTTGAGTCCCTAACTGCTCCCAGTGCTTATAAAATCCAGCAGCCAGGCTCCCACGTGTTTGCCTAAGGAGAGAACAGATATTTGCCTCTTCCTTGGAGGACTTGTGCCTACACAGGAGCTTTTCTTCCAACTATTTCATTACTTGCGTCGTCTGTGTTAACTTCTCAGCGGTGATTGGAGAGGAGGACTTTGGAGAAATCCCACTTTGGAAAAGGTTGCTCTGAGTTTCTGAGAAAGGAGAAATGGTTTTTTGTTGTGTCTGGGGGTGATGTCAGCACAGAGGGGTATTCAGGATAAGGAAGCCTTTGCTTGACATGTAAACATCATGCGGAGTTGTCAAAGACCTTTTTGTGTGTGTTGTATAAGTGGTAT